TTTGTGACATAAGTACATATTTTATGCAAGTTTTCGAAATAGTCCGCGGAATCTTTGAGTATAGTTATAGATAAGGAATTGGCTAATCTTGTCAATTATTCAAGAATAGAGGTCCAAATTTTGTTTTTCTAATCAAATTGTTATACACTTTTTCGGTAGATTAAAAACTTTCTCTTTGTGCAGAGTTCTTGCGGTTGAAATTGCAAAAAATACAACTTACTTTTCTTGGTGTCGTAAGGAAGCTTTGTACTGTCGTTGCGTGCTTTGCTGCACGAAAGCTCGATAAAGTATCTGCTCCTGCTGTAGTTGCTTTTTAGTGAAATTCGCTAAATGCTACTTTGAAGGGTCTCAAATGGTTATATAGGCTAATAGACTTTGGGTTTTTGTGGGTCTCTCAGGTACACACTTATGTCACGTGATTTCAGCAATATTCCTTCTTTGTTCTTGGCGGACTTGTCCGAATCCACTGCTTGTGTAAAAGTCTTGGTATTTCCCTATTCGATATTCCATCATTCTTGTAGTGAAAAAAATAGACGTTTTAGAGTATTTCCCTTTAAAATGTCTAACATTCAGTCGAGGGCGGGTCCAAGCCACAGCGGCAGTATCTGTTGAAAGATGTAGTGATATTTTGCAATTGTATATCCACGTGCCAGTGTCCTATGCAAATAGTTGTGATTTTATATTTAATTTCGTCGCCTGGCTATCTCAGTTAATGTTCTCCTTCCTTCTCGTGGTTGCAAGAAGGTTTGTGTACCTTACCGCATCTTGTATAAGAAACGTTGCGGCTAAAAGACGCTTGAATGGCACCTTTGTTCCGACTGTCAAGAACATTTTACGCCTTTGATACGGTTTAGTCGGCTGGCAGTGATTTCATACGTATGCAATGTGTGTCTGTCTGGCATCTGATTGCAATTTTAGAAGCCGAATTTGCGATAAACTATTTCGACCTTTAGAACCTTCGTTGCTTAGGATCTCATTGCATCTGTTCTGCCAACTGCAACTGATCTCTGAATTTTACACAGTTTTTAAGTATCACCAGACCAGCACTGCAAACGAGAGTATCTAGCAATGAGAGTATGGGTCGAACTATAGCCGTGGTACGCCAGTGTACAAACCTTGGCCTCAGAGCTCTCTCCGTAGGTTCGCTTGTGGCCGAAGCAAGTGCATCTGATATCAGTATGGCTATATCGTGGGAATAGGCTTACTTGTGGTCTATTCAAGCCACGATTGCGGCTTACAAGTGATGCCTGGCCTTGTTTGTGGAACCCAGCCACTTTGTTTGTTTAGCGTGGTATTTTTCCAGCTTAGCGAGACATGATTTAATATTAGTCACCTTCTAAAAATTGCTGCCAAAACCGAAACAGCCACTTCCGAAGCTTCTATGTAGTATGTATGAATATGTATAAGTGTTTCTACCTCGTATTCTTTCGTGAATAATTGACCAACCATGAGTTATCAGGAAGCGACCGATGTATTTAACTTCTCCCAGGCGGGTACTTAGTAAATTTTTCTTGCAAGCCCATCTGTTCTTTTTGCTACTTGATTATTTACAATTTTCTGGAACCCTTGCCAAAGAAAAAGTTACATGAGCTGTGATCAGATTGAGGCCTTTGTACCAATTCGATAATCATTAAAATGTCTACTGCATATTTTGGGTTAACATAAAGTCGTAGAAAATAAACTAACGAAGGATTAATACGCGAACTGAAATATTACTGAGCTTAAAGATATGCATCAGTCTGCGGGCATTTACTCCTCATAAACAAACTATTCAATAAATCCTGTAAAATATATAAAAGGGTATCCTGAATCGATTTAAAGTGTAGTCGTCAATAAAATGCTGAAATAAAGTTCCAAGAGAGGAAAAAAATTCCTTATCTTATAACAAAGACCCGAGAAATGTCATTAGAAAATTTCAAATATATATTTTTTGCCTATTATTTGAACTAATATCCTAACGCTTGCCAGAATTCCTCTCGCTGCTGGCCTACCCAGCATTCTTAAGATAATGGTTTATCTGTAGGTAGCTCGTCACTTGTTTTCTGTCGGAGATGGACGCTAGGCTCCACAATGGCTTTACCACTAAGGCAAAATATTGCTGCAGGCTAAAAATTTAATTTCCAAGAATAAAAGATATACAATTTTTGTTTTTCATTGGGTTTTGTTTTATTTGGTTTGTTTTTCTTTGTTTTGTATTTTTTAGAGTGGTTTGCTTAGTCTTATAATTATTTAGTTTAGTGTCCTCCATTGTTTAAAACTAGCGCTTAGCTTATGAGTAGGGTTTTAAATCATTTGTCTTCCATGAGTTAAAGTTCTTAAAAAAAAATATACTTAAACTAAATATTTCACAACATAAAAACATTTCGAATTTACAAGGCACTATTTACAATTTTTAAGCAAGGTCAAGAAAAAGCTCTTCCTTTTTATGCACAACAGTCACTAAAATTGAATATATATAAAATGTATCTTTTGTAACGATACTGAGTCCTGAGTTGCCACTGGGCTATAATGTCTCTCAAATTTTTGCTACTTCTTTTTCGTAGGCAATTTTTCACTGCGCAGGTTGTTTCAGTCACTGATTGCGCCGCCTTGGCTTACTGCTCTTGCCAGGAAGAGATATAGTCCAACAGTTCCTCATCGTCGGGTTGCTCATCTGCAGGTGACAAATGCGCAAACTCGTCAAAGGCTTCAAACTTGAAGTGCGTCTGAGCAGGCTGTTGGTGCTGCTGCTGCTGCAGCTGCTGGTGTTCGAGTTTCACTGGTTGCAAATAATTGACGCCACCAATCGAAATATCCGNGGCTTCACTGGGACTGCCCATCGACGAGTAACCATAGTTGCTGCCATCGTTGCTGGACTCATCGCAGAGTGTGCCGGTATGAAATTTACTTTCGGCTGGCTGCGACTCATCGAGCATATCCTGCAGACCGCGAATGTACTCGACAGCAATGCGTAGCGTATCCACCTTGGAGAGCTTCTTGCTGGCGCCGCGTCCACCATGCGACAACGTATTGATCACCGTTTGTGGCAGATGCTGACGCAAGTTGGCAAAACCGTTGTTCACCTGCTTGACACGGTTGCGTTCGCGCGCATTGCGACGTGCCACCGATGGCAGCTGCTCGCCGTACGGCACATTCATGTAGGTGTACTTCTTGCGCGGCAACATGCCGCCACCACCACCACCTGCGGCACCCACTTGGATGTTGTGAAGATTGCTGTTGCCCAAAACTTTTGGTGCGGGTGCGATGGTCTGGTGCTTCTTGTGCTGATAGGCGGCGGTGTGGAGGTTTTGTTGTTGCAGCTGCTGTTGTTGGTGTTGTGCCTTTTGTAGCAACATTATGTTGCCGTTCAACATTTGGAAATGGTGTTGTTGTTGATGTTGCTGGTAACCCGTTTGTGGCATGCAAACACTTGCCATTTTTGTGCGAAATTTATTTGGGTGTGCTTTTTTGCGTTTTAAAAATTTGAACTAATACAACTTCTTTCTCGGTTTTGATTAGATTGACTTTGCACTGATTTTCAACTACTACTTTCTACTTTATTTTCTTCGGTGTTGTTCTAAGACGAGTTTGTGTTGCTACGAAATCAAATGCCGTAATGATTCCCTTCGTCCTCTGGTAGCGCCTTAAGTACAATTTCAATACGAAGCAACAGCCAACATAGCAGCAGCTCTGTTCACTCTTCTCGCCTACAGCAGTGCCACTCCATGGAGTACAGTGTGAGTACGTAGCATACCTGCTTCCTCCCCTGTTGCTTGTCATTGCGCTGACAGAGGGTTAAACAGTGGCAAAAGTGATCGTGCCTTAGCAATGTTCTCGATCAGTGCCATGAACTACTCGCGCGCACCTCAACATAAATGGGGTTCTTCGTTTAGAGCAGCGATGAATCAACACCACACTACACAGTGTAATCAAAAGGGTAGTGAACAAGAGGGAGCACAAAAATGCGAGCGGCAAGATACAGAGAGAGAGTGTCAGCTAATAAGAATATTTTTTAAGGCCTCCTTAGGCAGTTAGTTGTGTTATGTGTGGACTAAACAGTTTTTTGAGTATTTAGTTTGTACAATTGTGATGCGCAGGTTACAGTGGCTTAACAGCGACAATGTTGGTTAGCAATCAGAACGAAAAGGCCAATCTTTTAACAAAAAAAAAGTGACGTGTGCCAACATACTCATGTGTTCGCCCATATGTGCACATGAATGTATGTATATTGTTAATATGTACAATGTTGGGCTCTTATCATCCGAGCATTCATAACTGCCAAATCCATTACTTCAAATGAATGGAGTCGATTTTACTGTTTAAATATTCGCGATCTACGAATTAATCGAAGCAGCTCAGGTGTTAGTCTTTCAACACATCGCCGCCAAAAGACGTATCCCTAGGCAAGTAGAGAAAATAAGGTTAGCCTGGATGCCGTCGACAGTCAGTTTTATGTGCCCGAGAAGTAACCAGT